CTATGTTGAATAAAAGTGGCAACATGAACATATTTGTCTTGTTCCTGATTTTAGAGGAATCGCTTTCAGCTTTTCACCACTAATGGGCTTATTATATATGGTCTTTATTATGTTGAAATACAGTCTCTCTATGTCCACATTTTTTAGAAGTTTTAATCATAAATAGATGCTGTGTTTTGTCAAATGCTTTGAAATAATCATGACTTTTCTTTTCTTATTCTTTCTTGTACATTTCTTATTCTAATGCCTTAAAAATCATGGCTTGGGTCCTTAGAACACTCTCTTGCTTGTCAAAGTAAAAAAAAAATAAAGAAAAGAGACATATATAGTTGTAAGAATGTGAAGCCAGCAGATAACTACTTTGGAGTTCGTAAGACTAAGTCAACCATATCTTTCTTGGAGAATGCATTTAAGGGTTAATTAATTTAAGTTTGCAGAGTGCTTGTGAAAGGAATTGTGGGACATGGAAACTAATCAATAAAATATACACTTTCATAAACATTTTAACCACCTAGTCCCAATATTTCCCCTACTAAAACAGTGCTAGTTTATTTTTGTATTATTTATTTGCATCAATCAGGCTTAATAAAGTATTTTTATTGTTTTCATATCAATATTTTGTCAAGTTTTTTTCAACAAATATAAATTGCATTTGCACTGAAACATTTCTATAGCTCAATCTTTTTAAAAATAAAAATGGCAAAAGAAAGAGTTACATAGTGCCAATTTATCAAGAAGAAAATAAAACTCAGATGGCTCAGTCCATTCTCACATAAAGTATGAAATATCAGGAAATGGTTTGTGTTTTATACATGATTACTTTAGATTAAAATGAAATTTTCACAATGTTCTTTAAAATACAATCCAATTAAATTTTCAGTGTCTTTGTTTTCACATTCCTGGATGGAACTTTTTAAAAACTCACACTGTAGTAATAACCACAAAACCACCTTGCTAAGGAAATGCCACTGAGCTTAGAAATAATATCTTTATAGTCTGTGTGGGACTACAGAAGTCCAGAATCTTCAGCAGGTGATTATACTGATTGAGTTCTCATTTCCTTCCTGTTTTGTCCTCTTTATGGAGGACACATTCTGAATGGCACTCAACTGCTAAGCGAGTAGAATGAGGCAGGCAAAAATCCATTTGAGAAATCACAAATCACAGATTATTTGAGAACATTGGGCCTAGGGAGCTTGAGGGATTTACCTGAAGTCATATAGTTGACTGACGGCGGGTTCAAGCCCCCGGTCTTCTTTGCAATAACTTCTACTTCCTTGATGGATTCTTCCATTCATGGGTAATTCTTAGCCTTCTGCTAAGACTGGGGTCAATTTCTCTGAGATAGCTGGGACATTTTACTTAGACATGGCCAAATCCACAGCAACTCACTTCTATATAACACTGATTATATGCCAGATGCTAGGCTAAAACTTTTATACACGTTATCTCTTTTACTCTTCACGAGCACTCTGTAGAGAGGGATTCCATTAATGCACCATTTTACAGATGAGAAATTGAAAACCACAGAGGCCAGGTTAACTTGTTGAAGGTCACACATGTGAGGAAATGGTCAAACCAGAAACTGAAATTAAGTCTCTCTGATTTGAAAGCCCATGCGCTAAGCCCCTTTACTATACTGCCTCTCCACACAAACAAGAAATAGCCAAACAGAACGAAAATCCACATTATTATTTTAAAACAAGCACACTTTCATGTCTCTTTTTAAAAGACAGTTACATGCAAACAATGGCAATATGAAGTGTTTCTGAAGTATTAGTTTAAATTTGGGGAATGCAAATCTTGAGAACTCAGTACTTTAGTGTCTAGGGATGATCATGGTGGTTTTCCAAACACACACTTTCTGCAAGTAAAATATCAAATGATGTGTAAGACACCTGTGTAAATTATTTTTGCACGAGTATTAGTTACTGTTTGTAAAATCCTATTAAGAAATTGTTGCCAACAACAGCTAGCACTGGGAAGCTGAACCAGTTCTTTGGTCATGTCAGTGATGTTCTTGTGGCTGACAGGATATTTATTCCCAGAGGTAACTCTTATAAACTGCATTTTGCCCCTTCAGTTGCTACAAGCTTGTGATGGTGAGTGGGAGGAGAGGACAACCTGTAATTCAGGATGGTTTAGAAGCTGGTTGCCTTGGAAACTGGAAAAAACAGCACAATGCCCACCAAAACGACTGTCAAAAAGAGAAAGGATTTTCTTTTTTTGATCTGTGTTGCTTTCCAAGTGCATATTTTGTGAATTTTGCCAGTTTGATTAGGGCCATTGGTCCTCGGTGGGCAGTGCAAGCCAGAGTGGGCCAAAGGTTAGTCAGCGAGGATGGGAAATTCTTCAGAGACATTGTACTGATAGAATACTGGGGGGAAGTGGATGATGGTGTAGTTAAAATGAGTTTATAAGGTGATAAAGTTATCAACAGGTGAATATTTCACACAATGTGACATGCAGACAATTCTTAATCATAATTTATGTACATTTAAATTTATAGCAGCAAAACTTACTTTTTTAACATAAAAGTTTTTTTTTTTTGCTGTAATCTACTCTTTACTACTCTTATGCTACTTACACCGGAAGTTTTGGTTTATACTAGAGTAGTTATTTTCAAGAGTAGCACTGGGAAATTCACAAAAATTTGATGAAAGTAATTTCTTAATACTTTTAAAATATGCATTTTTTATTTTTAAATGATCACACATGTACACATACACATTTTATAGGTTTGTATATATGCGTGCACATATATTTAAGTAAATCATAGGAAATTGCTGATTTTAGACTATATTAGGTCTATAAAAATGGCAATTTTACATATTTCAACTTATAAATAAATAGCAGAGATCACAGAATACATGTTTTTCTTCTTCTTTGCTGGGGTCCCCATTCCCTCTTTTCTCATCTCCACCTCACCCTCTTCTGTATCAGTCCTTCCCTACACTTCCCACATATCCTCACTCTCTTCTTGCCTCACAGGCAATTCACATTAACAACCTAGTATGTATCACTGTGCTCACAGAATCATGAACGGATGTAAATATGTCTGCGCATCTATATATGTGTTAGTGACAAAACTCACGATGCAGATCTCAAACTTCCAGATTGTTTTTTTCCTGTTAATAGTTATAGCTATATATTCTCTTTCCTGCATCTGAATATTGCTTATCTTCTCTTCTTTGCACTTATCCTTAATGGATTTCAGCCTAATTCCCTTTTTGACATTCATTCACTTGAATTCTATTTCTCTCCTATGTACTAGAAACAATTCACAAATGATTCAAGCTGCAAAGTGTTGCAACATGTCACACAGATGGATTAGTAATTCTTTTCTGGTTTCCTACTTTGCATCCACAGAATAACCTATTATTTTGCAAAGTTAAGAGTAACGATATATGAGAAGGAAATGCTTTGGATTATTCTAGTAACTCTAGACCCAGAATTTCTCCTGCAAGGAAAAATGGCCTCCCAGAGCCATTTCTCTGATTTCCATCAGTCACAACCAAGTTAACGATTGGTTAGGCAATGGAGTCATATGGAAAGACCTTAGAACTTACGTTATGGATGAGGCTGTTTGAAATCTTAAACATGAGGTACAGCCTCACTACAGATGTCATAGGACACCTGAGGCTCTCACTGTTAGCCAAAGGTGACTTCTCCTCTCACTGCTACTGAAATTGCCTTTGAATCCCATTTTCTTCTTCAGAGGCAATATCTCTCCTATTTAGGCCACTGTGGCAGACTTTGGCTCAGTACTATGGGCAGATTCCCAAGATGCTGGGCAACTGGGCTATTCCAGGACTACACCACTCTGAGTTTTCTCACTAGGAAGTGAATGTTGACAGAGGGAGAAGGAAATGAGTACTCAGTAGTTGGAGATTTATGGCTTCTTCTTCAGTCTGTACTCCCCAATCCCCCATGTGCATCTGTACAGGTCTTGGATGCTCTTTGGCCTCCCCACAAATGCCCACCACAAAGAGCTGCTGCCCTTGGGCTATAGTCCCTTCTCTTATTTGGAAAGCAAAATGCTTTATAATGAAGTAAAATGTGAATTCCTAGGAGTTTGGGGGTTGAATGTCCCTTGGGATCAACTCAGAAGATGCCATTCCTGAATTGTGATTTGTTTTCCTGATAGGGTTTCCTTGGGTGAGTCTTTTATCCTCAGCAGAGGATACCCTAGCCAGGGAGAAGACAGATCATTCCAGTTCTTGTAGGTATGACCGAGGGCTGTAATTTAGAAGCTGAGTCTGCCCTTTTCCTGCCTGTGAAAAGGGCTTCAAAGCTGCCATACCAGGAACTGTTTCAGATTACAGACTTCAGCAACTAATGACCCATGTCCTCCCTTCAGCAGTGAAATCCCAAAATGGCCCTGGGAGAGGAGAAAGTAAATCTTGACAGTACTTAGAAGTCATCTTAGAACTAACTCTCAGGAGAAATGTTTTTAGGTTGAGAGAGAGATTCCCCCCCCCAAAAAAAAGGAAAGGAAAAGAAAGGGAAATCATGAGACTAGTGCCCAGAAGGATGTCTGCAGCTCACCCAGGTGTGTTCTGAAGACCAAACATCTACATCAGCAATTAGCAGGAAACCCTTGAGTCCTCCACCTCCCAGGAAACAGTGGAATCAGATAGCATCGGAAGCACACACGCGCACACACACACACACACACACACACACAGTCTCTCTCTCTCTCTCTCTCTCTCTCTCTCTCTTCACCTGATCCTTCCTGCAGGTGTCTGTAGGAAAGGAGTTTCTGTGGATGAGAGAATGAGACCAGGTGATTGTCCGAAGAGGCTGTAATTTTAGCAGACCTACCAAGAACCTTGATGTAGGAGGCTTGTTATTCTAAATCACAGAAGCCTTTTTATTTTTTTCTTTGGAAAGTATGTGAATGATTGTAATGCTGCTTTGCTTCCCAAACTGAGCAGTGAGGTAAACAGCAGAAGTCACAACAACCACAAACAACAGCAGAAGCTCTCATCCTGACCACCATGGAGTTTCTTGAAAGAACTTACCTTGTGAATGACAGAGCCACCAAGATGTATGCCTTCACCCTAGACAGGTAACAGGTATCTGTTTCTGCTTCACAACTTTCTGTGCCTTGACTATTCAATAAATCCTTAGATCCTACTTCTTCAAAATTTGAAACTTTTGCTGTGCAACTCAGGGCCATTTTGTAAAATCTGATAAGCTGTTGACTGACCTGCATAATTCAGATCCTGAAAAATACAGGATTTGATTCCTTAAATATCCTAAGGGCACAAAGGATACATTTTATTAATATATTTTTCATCTGTAGTTTATCTTCCAGAAAACAGGCATATATGATCTTATCTTTTTACCTTTCTTTTCCTCAATTATTCCCATTTTTAAAGTTCTAAGTACATTTTACTAAATTATATTTAGAAAAAAATTAAGGCTTTTCAAGATTGTGACAGAATTGGGGTTACATTTACCTTTAAAACAATTGCTGTTTTCTTAATCATAAAATATCATAGTCAAATGTACACAACTATAATGAATATAGCTGAGTTTAATGTGCTACATAGTTCTAGTCCGTTTACTATCTCCACAGTACCACATGCACAGTATCACATTCATTCATCTTCCCCTTATTGAACTACTATTGATTGAACACATTCGGATATATAACAGGAAGAATACATGCCTACTTTCAGATCTCTGTCCTCTTGAAACTTTGAGTCTAATGTGGAAGGCACACAGAAAATACGCAATTACAAAATAGCATAGAAGTGTCATTCTGGAGGTGTTTAATGAGAAGATCTCAAAGGAACTTAAGCCTTAGCTAGACTTTAGGGGTCAGAGAAAGCGTTTCAAAAGTGATAGAGTAAGAAGTGAAAAATGAAAAGGAGTTAGAGCAAGGTTAGGAAAATTCCATAGAAAATACAGGTTGGGGACATTTTCCAGACTGAGATAATTGCCTGGTAAAAACAGAGACATATAAGAATAAGAGTTTGGTGTGTTTGGGGAATTTAGTCTGAATGAGGAGCAAAGAGAAACATCCTTAGTATGTACAGATGAATGAATGGAAATCTGAAATGATTTCATGTAGGAGCAGAGCTTAAGAGAACACATACCCATTAATAGTATGTGTAATGTTTGTTTCATGGAACCAAATTCATATTCTAAAAAGTAGCAATATTGTGTTTGATAGCATCAAATGTTCGAACAACTGTAAAGGGACATTTTTAATAGGATCTTTATAATTTTGCTTAAAAAATATATGATAGAATCTAGCACATCTATTTTCTCACATTATAACAATTATTTTTCTTAGAAAATAATATTAGATGTGATTTATTAAGACCATAAATAACAAAACCTCATGTTAGGTCAGGCAGAAATTTTAGACAAAGAATTGTTTTTACTATAGACACTATTAATAGAGCATCTCTACATTATTAAAATAACACTATTTCCCTTCTCATTAAAATAGACCATTAACTCTGTTATACAAATAAAGCTAACCATACAGAGTTACAGGTCTCTTTCACTTCCTAAATGGGTATGGTTTTCAGGATATGGTGATTATAGAAACTATCAAACTCATTTTTATTTTCTTTTCATATAAAAACAGTTAAATCTTGGAGAGATGATTTATGCTGATCCCTCATTTCACCAGTTAGGAACCTGAATGCCAAAGAGAAGTGCCTTTCTTAAGGTCAGCTGTCTGATTATGGCAGAGTTGGGATCTGAACCCATGCCTCCTGTTCATGAATTTAGTGCCTGCTTACTCCTCTTCCACATCTCCTGCACACACACTTTCACCTTGTGGCCTCCTGAATCCTTAATCTATTTCTCCCTGAGGTCACATGGACCTTGATTTCCTCACTTATTTGCTTCCTTTTATCATCTTCTCTGATCTCCTTTCTCATGGGTTTTCTTCTTTCTCTATTTCCCAGACAACTTTGCCCTCTGATAGTCCTTCTCTTTTCTCCTTCCTTCTCTCTTTCTACTTATAATCAGCTTTCAATTTAAATTGTTACTAGCTATTGAGAAACTTAACCTGAAGGAATCTTTATTCTCTAATTCCACGAAAGGAGTATTTCATTTATCTACTGCTGGGCTACAAACTCGTCTTGGAATGTAGTAGCTTAAACAGCAGTCATTTTATTATTCACAATTCTTGGGTCAGTGAGGTTTGTTCATGGGGCTGCATTCTGCTGGTGTCCGGGCTGTGCCAGAAGTTCCAAGATGGCTTTACTCACATGTCTGGGGGCTTTGTACCAGCTTTTGGTTAGTCTTCATTCTTCTTCTCATGACCTTTAATATTTCCCCCTTAAAGAAGCCTGCTATGGACTGAATATTTGTGTCCCCCCCTCCCAAATTCATATTTGGAAGCCCAAACTCTTATGTGACTGTGCTGGAGATAGGACCTTTAAAAAAGGTGATTAAGGTTAAATGAAGTCATCAGGATGGAGCCCTGATAGGGCAGAACTGGTGTCCCCATAGAAGAGGAAGAGACACCAGAGATCTCTCTCCACCGTGTGAGGATATAGAAAAGCAGCCATCTATAGACCAGGAAGAGAGCTTTTGCCAGAAACTGAATTTTCCAGCACCTTAATCATGAACATTCAGCCTCCAGAACCATGAGAAAATAAATTTCTGTTGTTTAAGTTACCCAGTCTGTGATATTTTGTTATAGCAGCTTGAGCAGACTAACACAAGGTCCAGCTTTAATTGGATCAGATTGTGGAGCAATTTATGCCTTAGGGCATTGTTGAAGACAGTAGAGTAATCAATAAGTGATTAAATAGGTCAATAGTTGGATGTGATACCCATTTACGCAGAACAGCCAGAAGCCTAACAGTGAGACCATGGAAAGAGACAATCAAAGCAAACATGATTAAGCATCCCTGGGCTGGGGTGGAGGAGGTAAAGATGATTCTGTGTATGCTAAGGCTTCACCCTCTTGGGAATAATAACAGAAGTTGCACATGTAGGGGACATCAGAGGAAAGAGATTCCACTTAATTAGACAAGCCATTCCCAAACAAATAATAGAGCAAACAAGTAAACATCAGCAACAACAAGCCCATAGGGGATCAGTATTCAGAACTGTTACCATGTATTATCTAAAACATCCAATTTTAGGCTAAATATAAGACCTGCAAAGAAACAGCAAAAAATAACCCATACATAGTAAAAAGAGCAGGTAATAGAAACTGCCTTTAAAAGAGCCCAGGTGTTGGACTTAGCATTCAGAGATTTCAGAGTAGTCATTACAAATATGATTAAAGACTTAAATGAAATCATGTTTAAAAAAATTAAAGAGAGGTATGATGGCAGTCTCATCAAATAATGTCAGTAAAGAGATAGAAATTGTATAAAAAAGAGATAAATAGAAATTCTGAAGTTGAAAGTACATTAAGTAGAATTAAAAAATTTGTTAAAGAGGCTCAGCAGTAGATATGAACTGACAGAAGAATCAGTGAACTTGAAGATAGATCAACAGATATGCAGCATAAAGAACACAGGGGAAAAAGTGAGGAAAAAGTAACAGAACCTCAAAGAAATGTGGCACATCATTAAATGTCCTAACACACACGTAATGGGAGTACCAGAAGGAGAGGAGAAAAAGGAGGAGAGAAATATTCAAAGAAATAATGGTTAGAATTTTCCAAAATTTGGTGACAATATTAATCTACACATCTACAGTGGGTCAACAGACTCTAAGAAGAATCAAGGAAAACAGATCTACTTCACTGACATATCAAAGTGAAAATACTGAAAGCAAAACACACAGAAAAAAATCTTGAAAGCATCAAGAGAGAAAGATTCATCATGTTCAAGAGCATCTCAGTAAGATTACAATCTGACTTCTAGCAGAATAAAAGGACCTGGAAGGCAGTGGAATGACATATTCAAAGAGCTAAAAGAAAAAAAAAGAACTGTCAACCAGTCATCTTATATCCAGCAAAACTATCTTCTACAATGAAGGTGAAATGACGACATTCCCAGGTGAGCAAAAACTGAGAAAATTTTGCTAGCAGACTCACTTTTCAAGAACTAGCAAAGGAAAATTTTCAGGCTGAAAATAAATGACACCAGACATTAACTTGAATCAAGACACAAAAACCAAACAGCATCAGTAAAGGTAAAGGTAATTTAAAAAGACAGCATATTTACTCTCCTTTCTTCTCTTAACTGATTTAAAGATAAATTGCATACATAATATATAATATATATTATATTATATATATTATAATATTATATAATATCATTATATTATATATTATATAATATTAGATGACACGTTAAAGTTATAGGAAGATACAAACTACCAAACTAACTCAAGAGAAAACAGAAAATCTGAGTGGATCTATAATAATAGTACTAAGGAAACTTCATGCAAAGAAAATCCCAAACCCAGATGTCTTCACTGGTGGTTTTTACCAAACATATAAAGTAGAATTAATACCAATTCTTCACAAACTTTTCCAAAAAATAAAAAGGAATGAACATTTTTCAACTCATCCTATATTTTAATATTCCACTGATAGCCAAATAAGAAGATATCACAAGAAAATAAAACTATAAGTCAATATGCCTTATATATACAGATTCAAAAATCCCTCCACCCAATACTAACAAACTGAACACAGCAAGACAAAAAAAAAAAAATATTATGAACTATGGTGAAGTCAGATTTATCCCAGTAATGCATACTTGATTTAACATTTGAAATACAATCAAAGGAATACACCACATTAATAAAATAAAGGACAAAACCTCCCATATGATTATCTCATTAGATGCAGAAAAAGCATTCAACAAAACAACAGCATTATGGTGACATTCACCAAACAAGAAATAGAAGGGAACTTTTTCAACCTGATAAAAATTTTCTATGGAAAACATGAAGCTAACATTAATCTTAGCGGTAAAGGCCTGAAAGCTTTCCCTTAACGTCAGGAACAAGACAAGGATGCCCATTGTCACCATTCCAACATAGCAGAGCCCTACAGGGGCTCGATCCCAGGACCATGAGATCCTGACCTGAGTAAGAAACCAAGAGGCCAACACCAAGAGTCCCATGCTTAACTGACTGAGCCACCCAGGTGCCCCTAGCTTTAAGTTATTTCACAGTACAACTTATTTTATTGTTTCTGAAGAACAATGATAATCATGTAATGTGAAAATGGTAGACTAACTTAAAAATTCACATTTTGTGTGTGTATTTATCTTGTTCCAAACACACTCTGACGTGTTCATATGAATTAGATAAAATCTCGAAGCTACCCTGTGAGAGAGGTGTTATCATTGTCCCCATTTTGCAGGTGAGGAAATTGAGGCCCAGAGAGGCTAAGTGGTTTTCTTACAGTCATACAATTACCGAGTGGTAAAGCTGGGATTCGACTTAGCAATGGGATGTCAGAGCCCACATTCTCAGCTTCCTCCCTGTACTGCCATCTACTCAGCCCGTTTCGGAAACTGGCATGATCTTCACCTAGCTGTTGTAACCAGGAATCCATGAGGAATCCTCGGGTCCCACCCTTCCCTCTTCCCCTCTAAATAATGCTATTGGTTAGTAAATCCCATTAATGCTACCTCCCAAACATCCCTCGAATATGGCTACTTCTTCCCCTTTTCCTTGTCACCGCACGGGTCCAAATTGCCAGCATTTCTGCTTCAGCGACCTCCTAAATGGTCTCCATGTTTTGTCTCTTTATGCTCAAGCCTTCCAAGCATCACCCGCAGTGAGCATTTTAGAAATGTGAACCACATCATGCTACTTCCCCGCTTAAAACTTTCCAACTTCCTTCTTTCAGACTTTGAAGAAAAGGAAACCCTTTTTAATGGTTCACAGAGTTCTGCATGATCTAACTTCTGCCTACTTCTCTGATGTCATCCAATATCACTTTCTTCATCCCACAGTGGCCACCTACGTAGTTCCCTTTCTGTCAAGGCAAGCTTTTGACAGGATAAGCTCTTTCTTGTCTTTGTGCCTTTGCACCAGCAATACCCTCCACTTGTGATGTTTCTCTTTCATGTAGGTCTACTCCCATTATCCTTTAACTCACTGTAGAGATACCTCTACAGAGGTGCCTCCCATTACCACTCTGTTTGAAGTAGTCCCACCTTCACTCCCTGATCACTGACGATCATACTACACAGCCTCTGTGACTATCGGCTGGCTTACTATTTGTCTCCCCCTGCTAATATATAAGCTTCTGAGGTCAGGAACTTAGTCATAAATACCATGGATCAATTAGCATCTCTGAAAGTGTAGGCACATTGCAGGGATGCAGTACAAATTTGAATGAATGAATACCTGAGGTATTGGATATGCATAGTGGGACCTAAGCTTTCATCTCCTCTTCTCATTGGAATAGTGATTTGAGGTTCTTGAGAGAAGTGATGTGAAAGCGCAAAATAGAAGTGATTTTATGTAGTCAACATATGAAATAAGAGGGTGAATGTTTTACCAGCTCTACTTTAGAGACACAGAAACAAAGGGGTTTAACTTCTACCATCAAACAAAAATAAAATACAAAAGAAAAAAAAAACTTCTCCAAGATCACAAAACAAAGCTCCATTCTCTAATTAGTATTTTAAGAAATAAACTCAAAGTTGTAGGCTATTGCAAGAAAATTTTTGAGTATTTCCTTGTTTCTCCTGTTATTCCCCCTTTTTTTCTTTGATGCTACAGTAACTTCCTCTGCTCTGGCTTATTATGCCTATTCTTCAGAACTTCAACCATCTTTGAATTCATGGGAATCTATGGAGATTTATTCATAATTCATTTTTTGATGCATCATAGCATTTGCTTTTTAGAACCTTCTTAAAATTCTCAGGATTCACATCATTTTTTAGATTAAGAGCCTCTTCTGCAGCTATAGGTACCCAGACCAATTTGCTCTAATGAGGTAAAGAGAAATATACTTTAATTTTGGTTTTTAAGTTTTGGGGGGATTACAGACACTTTTAGGAGCCCAGTGAAGACTGCGGGTTCTTGCATTCCCCCATAACACACACACAAACACATATATGAACACATTGCATGCAATTTCAGTGGAGCCTCTGAAGCCCACCTTTGGATCTCCTGCTTAGTATTTCAAGGAGCAATCTCAGCTCAAAGTATATCCATATTGGTTAATCTTAGAGTCTAGGACAATAAAGCAGTATTTAAAGGTAAAAATTGGCCAGGTTTCTTGCACTTTTCTTCTTGTGGCATTGCCCTGGAGGCTGTGCCCTTAGTAGGATTCCTGCCTTTGACTTCTGCACTGCTCCAGAATAAGTTCTTTCTCCTGGTCACTTACCACCTGGTTTTCTTTGGCCACAAGATTCATGAAAAGTATAAATAAAGCAAAGCTTCATATGACTTCAGCAAATCAGTGGCCATATGAACAGTGCCAGAATGATCGGTGACCCTGTCTTGCTCATGTTGCCTTCTCAGCACAAAGGAAGAGGAAACCTCCATCATGCTATATTTTTAGTTCTCAGACTCCTCTGAGTTGATGGCCATTGGTGATCCACAGTGCTACATGATATATTTTTTATTATCAGGGTATGTATCACATCACAAAGGTAAAAATGTATAGATACAAAAATTCTATGTGCTTATTGCCAAATGGTTCCCATTCCAGCCAAGGAGATTATTTAGAACTGTTGGAACTGTTCAAAATCCTGAGTGTTATTAATATCATCAGTACAAACATTCCAAAGTCAATTTGGTGATATATACCAAAATCCTTAAAAATGTAGATACCTCTTGACCAGACAATTCCCCTTTTAGGGTTACATTTTAAGAAGATAATAATATACTGAGTAAAGATTAACTATAAAGATCAACAGCCCCATTTATATGAGCAAATAATTGGAAAAGAATGAATTGTTTAATAATAGGAAATCAGTTCATTATTTATGACATATTTATATTAAATACAGTGCTCTCTATATGTTAAAATAATAGTGTAGAGTATTTAATAAATTGAGAAAATGTCAACAATACATATAGCTAAGAATCAGGTTCCAAAGCTGTATCTTTGGTAGGATCCTATGGTGACACTGTCATTTCATCCATAAGCCATTCCAGCCCTTCTCCACAGAGTTGCAGCCATATGATTTGCGTAGCATCTACCCCAATCTCAGCTCCAGGAGTCAGCATGGTAGGGTTTAGCCATTCTGATTATAAGAAGGTCTAAGCCAATTAGCCCATCCATATTCCTCTGGCTATAAAGGTTGGTTCTCATTTGGCCAAATCAGCATACAACTCAGGACCCTTGTTTAGGAGTTGAGAATGGACACTCTCTCTGCCTGTATAAGAAAAGGCAGGTGCACAACTGTGATTACCTTGGGCAACCATTCCACTACCATGAGGAAAACCAGCATGCGGTTAAAATGTACTTGAGAATGCAGAGCGATGCCTCTGGTGTCTTCCTAAATCAGGTTAAAGCCTGATACATCTAGATGCTTTCAGTTGCAGAACCAATAATTCCCATTTAATAGCATGAGCTTTGTTTTCAGTACTTGTAACCAAAAACACCCTAATTAATTATGGACTCTGATTATGTAAAGAAAGTGTGTTTATATATTACAAAGCTAAATGACAAAATATCAGTAACAGCTGTCTTTTGGAGGTAAGTTTATCAGTGATTTTTCCCTTTTCTTTGTGCTTTTCTGTAATTCTAGATTTTTTTAATGAACATATACTTTAGTTTATTCAGGAAAAACCCAAATATAATGATAAGTAGGGTCATAATAATTACCATCATCTAAACCAAAACCTTCAGACCTTTAATTCCAGATGGGGATGAGACAAATGAACTAGCTCTTCATTGGAGGTGAATTTATTTTTCTTCTTATACCCTTCAAAGTCATGAATGCTAAGTTCCTAATTCTAAGAATCTTATTAATGTCTTCTAATAAGTTTATTTAAAAAATGAAAGTCTGATCAGCTCAAGATCCATGGACATTGATATTGGCATCAGTAGAGATTGGTTTCAGGTGTACCGAAGTTTAGGTAGGGAGGTGGGGTGGAGCCCAGTGGAAAAAACACTAGGTTTAGAATCCCAGTTCCACTGTTTCCTGGTTATTTGGCCTCAGGCAATTACTTAACCTCTCTGAACCTTGATTACTTCCGCTAAGAAACTATGGCATTGGACTGACTGTTATCTACAATCTTTTTATCTATGAAATTCTAGAGCCGTATACATGGCTCTAAATAATGCTCTATATTTGAGAGGAACTGATAGGTACTGCCTGCTTCAGGAAGTGTAAGTAAGTTTGACTCCCAATACAGCTTTGATAGATTGAGACAGATTGTCTGCAAAGCTGTGTTAAGGTTTCTGAGAGTCCACATGGACTCAGCAGGAGAAAGTGCTATGATCTATTAACAGTGTTGCTGTGGAGAAGAAAGGAAGAGTTTTGGCATTTAATATTGAGTATTTGAATCATCAAGCTGACTCCTACGCACATATCCAACATTGCCCTGCCTCCCCCCCTTTAAATTTGTAACACAGGGTCCAAAATCTTTTCAAAGTGCAGTAATTTGGAAGGAAATGCATCAAAGTGTATCTGCTTCCCTTCTCCTGTTCCTTTGACATCTCTTAATCACTGCTGGTAGAGACTGAATAAGACTTTGACAGAATAAAAGCAAAACCTTTAGTAGTTGAGAATTCAGAAGGAAATTTCTTACTTGTTCCTTACACTTGATATTTCTTGTGGAAGGAGCTGTGAACAGCAACTTCCCAGCTAGTTAGCAGATGTCCTAATATCAGTTCTGAGAATGGGCAGGGCTGTCAGTGAGGTATTTGCAACCATGTTCACTTCTTGCTTCTATCAAACTCATCCAGTGTGGAACTCCAGCAGAAATCCTTGAATAAAGATCAGTGTCCTGGAGAGAAGCCAGAGGAGCTGGAGTCAGGAGCCATCTATCACTGCCACAACAACTCCAAGGCCACAGAGAACAGAGCAAACGAGCAAGTCTATGCCAAGTGGAAACTCTGTGCTGCTTCAGGAATATGCTTCGTTTTCATGATTGCAGAGGTTGTGGGTGAGTATTACTTAAAGAGACTTCTCTGATTAAACAAGCAAACAAAACCCCACATCACTGAAGGAGGGTTATAGACGTTCTCCTTTGAAAGAAAGATTTCATATTTTTTGTAAGTACTGAGTAACAATATGCTCATTATAGATAAGGTGGAAAATATTAGGAAACAAAATAAAATTCATCACCATCGCACATTTGAGTAATAACCTCTAATAACGTTGTGGAGTATTTTTGTACAATATATTTTTCTATTCATAACTCAGTTTTTTTTAACATAACTGGGAGCATACTGAATGCTTTTGACCATGCCATCAAATACTCTTCAAAAACATTTTTATGCCTGAATAATATTCTATAATATGCTCCACTGTGATTTACATAACCATCTCCCTATTGTTAGAAATTTAGGGAGTTGTTTTTTTTCCTGCTATGGACAATGCTGCAGTGAAAACTCATGAATAAAAGTCTCCCTGCCTCTCTGGTTAATCCCTTGAAAGAGATTCCTAACAGTGGGAAAATTGATTGAAGGACATAAATATTTTTATTACTTCTTGATGCACATTGCCAAACTGCTATCCAGAAAGCTTAAAACAATTCATATGTCTGCCTGCTGTATGTAAGAATAATTCTCCAAATCTTTACCAGAACTTATTTTAATCTTTTAAAAATCTTTGTTAATGTATAGGTTAATATGCTTTATTTTATTATTCATTTTTTTGTTACTGTTAGAATATTTTTGCATGCTTATTAGTAATCTATATTTCCCTTTGTTGATGCATTTCCTGCTTGCCTCTTAATGTCTCCTGCTCATTTGTTTTTTAGATAATTTATAATGTTCTATATTGATCTCTGGGAGCTCTTTATATAGTTAGGATATTGAACTTTTTATATTTGTTATAAGTACTTAGTTTATTGTTTACTTTTTAATTTTTGGTTTGATGTAGAAAAGTTTTAAATTTTATATATGTAATTGTACCAAACATTCCATTTTGAGCTAACTTCTTTTATTGCTCTTTCACTATTTTAGTGCTTTGGTCCCTATCTACTGAGAAGATAAATATCATTTTGTTGTTCAATTTTTTGCATTTAATTTTAAATCAGGGTGGGATTAGATATGCTCTAAGGGCTAAAAATTCTTTTTCTAAATAACTAACAGTTTTCAGCATTATTTCTGGAATAATTAATTATTCCTTCCATTGATTTTTGATGTTTCTTTAATCATTTATCAATATTTTATAAAAGAATAAGGGTTTGGTTCTAAGGTGTTGCACTGATCTGTATTGTTCTTCTCTGTTACTAGTAACATATTTAATTAACATAGATTTATATGTTACAATATCTGTTGTTCTTTCCTCATTATTCCTTGTTTAACAGAAAAAAGGAAAAATGCATTTATTTCTGTTTATTATTCTAATACATGAGAACCATTGTGTTCCGTTCTCTCCAAAATCAGATTATGATTTTACTGGTATGTAAGTTAATTTGGAAACACAAATCTTTTTAAAATACTGTTTTCTCCTCTAGGAATATGGTATGTTTCTCCATTTATCCAAATACTCTACATCTCTCATTTGTTTTGTGATTTTAGTTATTTGTTTTAATACAGGGGCAGACTATTTCTTGCCAGGGTTATTTAGATGTGTTTGGTTTATTCTTTCCAGAGGTGAGTGGGGTCTTCCTTTTTGCACGTCCTCTTTTCTAGGTGGTTACTTTTGGTATTCTGGAATGTTTTCCATTTTGCATATTCATTTTATACTGATCAGTGTATTTGCATTATTTTCTTTCTAAATGTATCTCAATCCATTTTCTTTGTTCCTCTCTCATCCATCCTCCCCCCTCCTAGGAGATAACACTCTCTTGTGCAAAAAAACATATTTCTCTTCTTTTTCAGTAATTGTATCTCTTCTGTATGTTTCATATTTTTATCATGTTAAATAATACTTTATGCTAAATCAAGTCTTCTGTTCGACTCTTTAACTGTTAAGTGAAATGTTTCCTGAGAGGTTAAGTATTTTCATTCTATGAATGAAGTGGGTCTTTTCCCTAGTTCTTAAATGATTAACAAATAATTAAGGATACTTGTTGATTTTTATCAAGTATATTTTCCTTTAAACATACTCCATTAAAATTTTTTTGACACATTGTTGATGTGTTTCATATTCAGAGATTTCCAAATATAATACAATCTTTGCATTTCTGGCATTATGATAATAATAACTGATATCTACTTAATGCTTATTATGTGCCAGGAACTGTGATGAGTGCTTGTCATTATGTTACCTTACTTAATCCTGTCCAAATTCCTGAGAGGTAGGTCTTCTTATAATTAGTTGCACTATATAGATGAGGAACCTGAAATGCAAAAAGTACTCTATTTGTGTACTTGTAAGTGGGCAGGCAGTCTGAATTCAGGGGCTCATGTTCCTAAGCTGTGCCTCTCAAATTCACTGTGGTGGACCATTCTTTCAGTGCACTGCTCAATCTGGGTCACTCATATTTTCATTAGGATTTTTTATCTTTATTGATAATTGAACTTGATAGTTTCTGTTTGGAGCTATTTTCCTAAGTTTTTGAATTAGAGTTATACATATTAAAATGAAAAGTTTAGTCTTAATGATACCTCTTTTTTAATTAAAAAAATGGAAACGATTCATGTAACTCTGTAATTATATCTTCCTTTTTTAAAAAGAAATCCCTGGCAAATTGTCTAGCTTTGGAGACATTCTTGGAAACAATTTTAAAAATATTTTTATTAGCTTCTTCCTCATTTTTTGATGTACTCAAAATTTCTACTTCTCTAGTAAATTTTGGTCATTTATGTTTTTCCAAAGTCAGCCATCTCATTGAAATTTTCCAATTTATTTTCATACATTGGTACATGACAGTTTCATATTAATATTCTCTTTATTCTAGCTACTTTCTCATTTTAATATTGTTTATATATTTTCTTTTCCTTGATTTAACTTGGTAGGTGTCTAGTGTGTATATATATACATATTGAATATATTATTATCTAAATTTTTCCTCTGTTTTTAATTCACAGTTTTAGCTTTAAAAATATTTGTTGCTTCCTCCATCTTTCTTCAGGGTTGTAATCTTATTGCATATTTTAATATCTTGAGTTATATCCTTCTCTGGTTATTTTTATCCTTTCTTTTTATTAACAATAAAATTATGTTTAACTATGAACTTAGTCTAAAAGTTTTGATATGCAATGTATCTTATTTATTATTTCTACCCCCAAAAATAAAAAAAAAAAAGAACACTAGGAACTACCTGGCATACAGTATCATAAGCTACTATTACTCCATTACCACAATTACCTATTACACTCTTACCAATATTTTGGCTTCATTTTTTGTTACCCAAAAGGTGGACTAAATTAATAATAATCTGTTTTCTGGAAGAAAACAGAACTGCTATGTTTTTGTCTTTGTTTTGTTTTTTGGGGTTTTTTCCTTTGTTTTGTTTTGGCTTGGTTTGGTTTTGCACTATCAAAGCTAGCAATCGGAATTAATTGGTTTCTTAAACCTCTGGAGTCTTATAGCCTATATATCCACACTTAGACTTTTATACCTTTTGAAAACTGGAAAAGAACTTAGACTCATCCAGTCCAAGAAAAACCCAGGGTTGACAAATAATTTTCCAGTCAAAGATTATACAAATAATTGATACCATCCCAGGGTAAGTCTTTTGAAGGAACCGACTTAATGGTTTGATGAAGTTGCAAGGAATTTACTTTGAGTAGTTCCAGTTTGAAAATCCACTGACATTTACGCCAGAAGTATATGTCTTTCTATTAGTTAAATTCATAAGATCGTGGACAGTATTCTATTGCTCATGTAAGAGATGGATAAAATGGAAAATTTAAAAAACAGAACCTATTCAAAATGTGGCTTAAAAAGGTGATGTTCTGGAAATTCATAGCTCTCCAGATAAAGTCCTAGCAGCACTGCACGTAAACACAGCTCAGCAAGACGTATAAACTGGCTTGTTTTCTCTACTACTTTCTTCCTCGGCTTTCCCCAGAATCCATGTAGATGCTGAGAACAGAGGGCATCTTCTCCCCAGCTGATGTCTAATCAACAGTCTGAAATGAGATGGTCTCCCATTCATAAAACTCACTTTTCTCCCTGTACCTTTCCTATGCCCTGTCATGTTGCTACAAAATAACTTATATTTTTAGGGGAGGGGGGATGAAAAACTATTCACTTGGAGTGAGCCAATCAATCTCCCTCTTCTCTCTCATTCTTAATCATTGATTAGTCTATAAATTCTAATCTGGCTTCAGTTTAGAGCAGAAGAAAGTGATGTTGTCAGTACAGGAATTAAATGGATACTGACACTCATTTTGAATTTGAGCTGCATTGATTTTGAACTGATTTCCCCAAAATATTGCTTTCATCATGTTAAATCCATCTTCAGAATTCTTCAATGGTTCCTCTTTGCCTAGTTCAGTGCTTCACAATGTTTCCCCCATCATGGCAAGCACAGGACACTTTACTGAGTACTGGGATAGACCCACGAGCATGCTGTAGCAGGGAGAGGGTGGTTCAGGGGCTCCCTCTGTGCTTGGGCTCACTGGGCTACCCCAAGTGAAAAGAGATCAACGTACTCGAACTCTCTGGCATTCTGGAAAATTTGACGTTCAAGTCATTCCACCATCTGGCTGCCAAACTGACTATCAATCTCTTTCTTTTACTATGTCACAACATGATTCTTCTGTTTCAGCTATTTATCCATCCTGTGCAAAATAACCATTGTATCTTAAAGTCTCTGTAGCTTTTGCTTATGTCTTTTTATTTGAATGGAAAATGCCTCTCCTCATTCCCTGCACTCATCAAAACCCTGATCATCATTCAAGACCCCAACCAGACCTCACCTAAAGCCATTCTTGACCAGGTCAGAGAAAGCGATTCTTATTCTCAGGTCACTTTTGGGAATCCAGGAGGTCCTCATATAGCGTATGGGATTTGAGACAGGCCTTAAAGTTTGTGTTGGAATCAAAAGGTGGCTAAGAGGGAGATGAAAAAGGCCTTCCAGGGGGAGGGCCCTGATGAGCAGCACCTGATAACTACTGTGGTCCAGGAGGTACAAAATAACAGCCTTGCTTGGGAAGATTTTAAGTGGGTGGGTGAGCAATAGGACAAGAAATCTGTATTCTTAGAAAGAAATTCAAGTGATTCTTGATGTGTAGCTGCATTTGGTGGCCACTATTTGTAGTGGTCAAGGATTGCTGCGTTCCAGAAGCTTCCTCCTACTCTGTGCTGGCTGCAGTTCTGGTCCTCCTGGACCAAGAAACTCATGCTCAGAGGCAAGGCTGGGCATGAGATGCCAAGCAAGATTATTCAGTCTCTGGGTCTTTTTCATAGAGAGGCTCGGGGTGCGGGAGGAGAAAAGCTTGATATCCTCCACAAATACTCTGCTGAAATGATATAAACCTGGAGCTTCCCAAGTCCAACCCTTCTTGCTAAGGGTGAGGTAGTCTGTCTTCAGTAAGACAATAAATAGCAATAGTTAGAGACAGAGCAGAGCCCCCCAAACGTTTTTTGAACCTTAGGATTAGGCTGCACTTGATCCAATCCCACCCTGATTTGTTCTCAGTTGTTTGGGCCAATAAATTATCATTTTGTTGCTGTTGTTGAAGCCAGTGTGAGTTAGGCATTTATGTCTTACAGCTGGACCTGTGAAAGATCTACCAAAGTCAGTGATGTAAGATAAAACATGACAAGTGCAGAAGAGAACTAGAATGGTAGCTGGGATTCAAGAAAGACCATGAGGCTTGACTGGAGAATCTGGATTAATTCTGGAGGCCTTGCGGAATAAATGACATTTAGAACAGGGGAGAACCAGGTCAAAGGGCTGTGTTTTGAAAGAGAATTGGCCACAGAGCAGACTGGTGGAAGGAATTAAAGAAGGCTATGGAGACATCCTGAAGGAGAACTATTTAAAGTGTGAAGCACAGACAGAGGACGCAGGAGGTTACTAGACAGGAAAACAGGGCTGGGAGCGGTGTGGGGAAGATAGTAAGTACCTCAGAGTACAGAACTTCTCCTAGAGAAGTGTCCAAACACACCTATGCAAACTGTGATGTGTTTTAAATACTTGTTAAATAATAACTCCATGCATTGAGTCTTTGATAGTATAATTTCGTTTTTATAGTATGCTATTATGGTATATTATTATTATTAATATACTATTATATAGTATTATATAGCATAATAATGCTATTCATAAGATAGTTAAAGGATTTTTAAAAATATGAATTAATAGCAGAGAGTGGTGTCATCCAGTAATGGGACACAGGCCAATGTTGTCGGAGAGATATTTGCTTCTTTCATTCCAGTCGGTATGTCTCTGTTCTCCACAGAGCATGTCATGTGTACTTAACATCCACTTCCGCACCTGAGGTGAGTATGAAATGCAGGTCCAAAGGCTCTGCCGATGTCCTCTTACCCCACAAGCCCTAAGAAGAGTGCATTTCCAGAATTTAGTCCTTAGTGCCTCTCCTATCTTGTTATCAGTACACTGCTTTCGCCTTCTTGTCAGTAATCCATAAATGAGTGCTCCTGCCTTCCTTCATGCCTTCCTCATATTTCCTTGGCTCTTACTGTTGCGCCTTAACCTCCAGTTTCTCCTCGCTCCAGGTCAGCCTCCACATTGCCGGCAAAGATCTCTCTCTTCAATACAGATTTGAGTATGTCACAACCTTGCCTCAAAATCATAGTAGGTTCCCCTATCCCAAAGGATAACATTCAAATTCTTTAGCCTGACATAGTTTCCCACAAGTGGGTCCCCAACCCACGTCTCCACTCTTATTTCTGGTTAGTCCTTCAATGCTCCACTCCTCTTGCTTTTCCACAATGGCACCATCTTCCTTCATTTCTCTCTGTTTTTGTTCCTGCTCTTGACTCTTCCTGAAAAACCCTTCCCCTCTAGCTCAGTCTTACCCCTCCCTCTGTGAAAACTTCCTCAATGCTCCCAAGGAGAGTGGTTGTCTGAGCCTCTAGCCACCGCACATGTCTTCAGTACGTGAATGCTGGACAAGGAGATCACTGAAGACAGAGACTGTGATGTGTTTAACTCTGTTTTTATCTTTGTATACCCCATCCCTGTACTGCACACAGCAAGAGCTCAATAAATACGGGCTGGATGGCTGCGTTCATGGTCAATAATACCCCATGCTTTCAGAAGCAAACGCAAGTTCAGTCAGAAACTACCTCTTGCACACAGTTTTCTCCATAGGATTCAGCATGATTGCTCACAGTTTTCTGGGCTATTCTTATAAGTAGCAAGGATGGTTGCAAACTGGTTCTCCCTTCCCGGGCCTCCATATAAATGTGCTTCTTCCAAAGCAAGTTCTTTTTCTCACTCAGTTGCCTCCTGATTCAGCTGAGCCTGTTGAAGAACCCCTACAGGACTCCATTTCCTTGACTTAGGCTACAATTTGAGCCCAGCACATGGAACTGTCACCATCATTCTTTGCTGAGATGGTAGATGGCTGCTAATCTGCATGTCGCCATTCTTCGTGTAAGAAATAATGCATTATTAACACAGCTTTATTATCAGACCCAAGTTTGTCAGATAGAGCAACATTAGAGGATAATTGGAAGAAAAGCTGATTTGTTAGCAAAATGTTGCTTTTTGGCTAATGAATCATTCTGATTTTTTGCACTGACAGCTCAGTAACAAGCTTGAAGACTACTTTGTTTCAGACCATTAAACTTTGACAAACCAGTTATTAACTACAGCTAGAGCCAGTGGTCTGTGGGGATTATTGCAATTATGCACCATATATGTAATTTTAAAAAATCATTAGTTGAGACAAGGTGAGTCTGATGATGGAGGGGCTGGCGACTGATAGTCCCTGTTGCCTCACAGGCAATAAACAGCTGCCGGGAGGACAATGGGTCAGCAATAGCTCTTTTTTGGGGGGAAGAAGTAGTAAGAGGAATCCAGATTGAACCCCAACAAGGAGCCCTGTTTGGGAAGGAAGAGAAAGAAGTTTCTTCTGACTTCTATTTTGGAGGCTGGAGGTCTTTTCTCTAAGGGGAACTAGAAGGAGGTAGAGAAGGCAAACCAAATAGAAAGAAAGGCAAGGCAGGACTGCCATGGCTTGGGTTCTCTTCCTATGCTTTTTTTTTTAAATTTTAAATTTTTAATTTTTGTATTATGTTATGTTCGTCACCATACAGTACTTCATTAGTTTTTGATGTAGTGTTCCATGATTCATTGTCTTCCTATACTCTATTGGGTTGTCATTATAGTCAATGACCCCAGCCCTTTCCTTTATGGCTCCCCACTATTCATAATAGGGATCTTGAACTCAGATGGATAATACAACTTAGTAGAGCAGAAGGCAGTGGTGAAAACGATGGTAAAATCACAAGTCAAATGCAGACACAGTTGTGTGCCAGAGCGCAACCCCTAGGTTACAGACAGAAGTCCAGGTCCTCAGCCTTAAGTGCAAGACTCTTCAAATCTAGCCCACACCTCTCCAGCCTCATCTTTTCATATTCTTTGTGAAATCTAATGTCCCCATCTAACTGTGATGTTCTCTAGATGTGTCCCACACTTTCCAGTCTCTGCCCCTTTGCTCTTTGAGGAATGGCCGCTCCCCTGAAATCCATTTCTATGTGTTCACATCCTACACACTATCTGGGTGTCAGTTTCTTGTCAAATTGGGAAGAAGAGGTAGACTGAATCCATGTTAAGACCTTTTCTTATAAAGTTTTGTGAGTCTGTGGCATCTTTCACCAATTGTGGTTAGTATGCATGTGAAACTAGTTGCATCCTGGGGCCCTAATCCCACGTAATGTTCTGCATCCCCTAGGTGGGCACATTGCTGGGAGTCTTGCTGTCATCACAGACGCTGCCCATCTCTTAATTGACCTGACCAGTTTCCTGCTCAGTCTCTTTTCCTTGTGGTTGTCATCGAAGCCCCCTTCGAAGCAGCTGACATTTGGATGGCACCGGGCAGGTACAGTTCACCCACTGAGCATTAATGGCAAAGTAGCTGTGCAGTCAGACCAAGGATAAAAACAGAAGAAACAAAGCAAAGCCTTGTTTGAAAATCCTTTAGAGGCACATCGGTGCACAGAATATAAAGGATGTATGCATGGGAACACGTGTTCTCAATGCTGATTTGGCAAAAAGCCAGATTAATTGCGCTACCTCTACTGCAATAGGACAACAAGAACATCTGTATTGCTTTAGCAACCGCCCCAGCCCAAGGGTCTCAAGTGTACAGTAATAGCCATGAGACCATTCATTAAGCTACTCTGCATCTGGGAGGGAGGATGGGATAAAGCTTCTACCATTTTGCAAACTAAGGTGCAGAGATCCCAGGACAGCTGGAGAGATTAAAGAATTTCTCACAGGTAAGTCGAGAATGGAATGGGAAGGAGAATTTAGGGCAGAGCAAGGGTGGCCAGCACGCTGACACAGTCAGCCTTCATTGAAAGCTGCCTCTAGATACAGACCACAACTTATATACTGACAATTTGGGCTGTGGTTTTTCAAGCTTAGACTGGTAGGAAGTTCTAATTTCACACCAAACAATTTATCATCACAAGTGTTTTGAATTGCCTTTTCTTTAACATTCAGAGAGAAGGAGAGGGAGAGTGAGAGGTGAGGCAATAAACATCAACAAAAAGAATTTGTCACAATGTGATCTGAAGATGCTTTTCAGTCCCTGAACAGTGCTACGCCTGAAAACATGTATCTTTGGCTGAGCACCTGTCATTTTTCTGTATATATTTTTACATGTACTTTCCCCTTTCTGATACTATATATCAAAGCAGTTTTGTAAACACAGAGAGAACTTAGAATACTGCTTGTATTTTCTCATCCTGGTGATGGAAGCCCACGAGCACTGATGCTCTAGAAGACCAGTGCTATTCACTAGAACTCTCTGCTTCAAGGGAAATGTTCCATAATATAGAGTATAATGTGGCCATAGAGCACTTTATTTTCTTTTTAATTTTTTTATTTATTAATTTTTTTAAGTAGGCTCCAAGCTGGGCTCCAGCATGGAGCCCAGCGCGGGGCTTGAACTCACGACCCTGAGATCAGGACCTGAGCTGAGATCAAGAGTCGGAAGCTCAACTGACTGAACCACGCAGGTGCCCTAATAGAGCACTTTAAATGTGGCTACTGCTACTGAAGAACTGGATTTTTAATTTTACTTAATTTAAATGGAAACTGTCACATGTGATGATGGTTACCATATGAGGCAGCCCTGTTAGAGACATAGAGGTGAAAATGAACTAGCTTGTTACACATGTAATTTCATGGATGGCTTTGTTTAGGAAGAAGCTAAGTTATACAAAATAAATTTATTAAAAAAATATTAAGTGGCTAATGAGACAGGTGGCATGCAGATGTGGTTACAATCATGAAGGCTGTGTGTAAATGACCAAAGTCTGGGAAACAATAGCCCCACACTAGGAAAACCATATGTTACATTGTTCTGCTTTAAAAGAGGGAAGGCCAAAAGTACCGAATGTGCCTGGCCACTGAGTCCCAGATTTCTAGACCCTCCTAGGCTTTTAGTACCTACCTACAAGGTTAAGTTAAAGATCAGGGTGAGGTGTTAAGGACCTCCTAAGTGAGCAAAGGTGCTTTACTCGGCCTGCAGACTGAACACTATCTTATCTTTAAATATTAATGTAAATGTCTCCACTCATACTTATTTTCCATATAGTTGCTCTTAAAATGCTGTCAGAGTGTTGATATAACTCTGAGCTTGCCTCTGTGTTTATAATACATTGGGCTGGCAAGTGAAACTCATCTTCATCAAGTACCCTCTGAAGCCTTCCCTTGTTACAATTTTATTCCACACAAGGTACCAGCACTGGCAAATTGTAAATGTTTAATGACAAAATTAAGAATTTCTAAACACATTTTACTCTTTGTGTCTCATTATTTCATCTCTTAATAAGTTTCAATCATTTTAGCACCTGTTTAAATTAAAATCCCTGAGGAAAACAGCAATGGCAGAGAGCAATTAATATGCTTTAAAAATTTGCTAGAAATTACTTAGTAATATGGACCATAATGAACTCAGATGCTGGTGTTTTATGAATGCAACATTAAAGTGTCTCATCTTAGTGCTAAAACCCATCCACACTTTTGCTGTGTGAATCACTGAGTGAACTAGTTTAAAGCCTCTTTGAGGGGAGGGGGGGTACATCAAGGAACATTAATGTCTTATGACTCTCGGGAGGTTAAGGTGATTCACAAATTCTTTGTGTATGGGTGTCTGTGTGCTTGAATCCCTAGAGATCCTTGGTGCCCTGCTGTCCATCTTGTGCGTCTGGGTGGTGACTGGGGTGTTGGTGTACCTGGCATGTGAACGCCTGCTCTACCCTGATTACCAGATCCAGGCGACTGTGATGATCATTGTTTCAGGCTGTGCTGTGGCAGCCAACATTATGTAAGTCACCCCACACACTGCCCGTAAAGCTTGTCTTTAACCCTATGTGGATGCAGCTTGTGGGGTTTTTGTTGATGCTGTTTGTTTTTGTTTAATTTCTCTACTTGTGAAGATGGTAAAGTGAATAAATTGCCAATGAGGTAGTGCAGAGCCAGGATCCGAATCTAGATCCACTAGGCCCAGAATCAAGCTCCTAGCCAGTCTGCTCTCGCATGCATACTGATGGTTCCATATGGGATATGACTTATTCCTACTTCGTTTTTGTTACATGAACACATTATGGGTTCCCGGAAGGCTGGGTTGGAAAGGATCTTAAATTTTATTTACTTCAGTTCCCTTCCTACTTTTGAATTCTTTTTTGCAACATCCCTATAAAATAGTCATTAGTGTCATATATTTTAACAGAACTAGTAACAGGGAATTTATTTCTCCCCAAAGCAGCCTATTTTATCTTTGCATCATTGTGACTGCATGAAAATTCCTTCTTAAGCTGCATTAGCTAAACTCTCTCCTAAACTCTCTCTTTAGTATTCCACCTGTTGGTCCATTCCCTTGTCCAGGCAGTCTTAATTCATTCTTATGAGACATGTGATGTCTTACTGGACACGTGATCATTGCCATATTGCTCTTCTCTTACCCAAATGAGCTGATTGTTTGTGACAAGGGGGTTTTGAGGCCAGGCCTTTGATCTTTTTGGTTGTTTGGCTCCTTCCCATTTGATAGCTTGATTCCGGGCAACCCCACTTAAAACTGTATTATCTATCTACCTACCTACCTACCTACCTATTAATCATCTATGGTAGACAGAATAATGGTCCCTCAAAGAGTTCCACATTCTAATCCTTGGAACTTCTAAGTATGTTAACTTACCTATATAGCAAAAGGAACTTTGCAAATGTGATTAAGTTAAGGATGGGATTTTGAGATGGGGAGATTATCCTGGGTTATCCAGACAGGCCCAATGTAACCAGAAAGATTCTTGTAAGAGGGACACTTGAGGTCAGAGTGAAGGGAAGATGCTGTATTGCTGGCTTTGAAGATAGAGAAAGGATCCTGGCGCCAAGGAATGTACGTGACCTCCTGAAGCTGGAAGAGGTAAGACAATGAATTCTCTCCTAGACTCTCCATAACGAATGTAGTACTGCACACCCATTTTAGACTTCTGACCTCCAGAACTATAAGATAATAAATTTATGTTGTTCTAAACCACAAAAGCTTTGTGGTAACTTGTTATAGCAGCAAAAAAAAAAAAAAAAGACTCAGACATACTATGCATCGTCTATCTTGCAATGCGACATGATACATGCTATGAGGTGAGCTTATACATGAAAGTGAAGAAGATAGTGATAGAAGAATCGAATTTAATTAATTAATTAATTAATTTTTATTTATTTATTTTTTAAGATTTCATTTTTTGACAGAGACACAGCGGGAGAGGAAACACAAGCAGGGGGAGCGGGAGAGGGAGAAGCAGGCTTCCCGCGGAGCAGGGAGCCCGATGCGGGGCTTGATCCCAGGACCCTGGGATCATGACCTGAGCCAAAGGCAGACGCCCAACGACTGAACCACCCAGGTGCCCCAAGAATCGAATTTTAAAGAGTGTCTTTTAAGAGAGGGCACAATGGAATCCCTGGTATTAGAGGAAATTCTGAATGTGTACATTTTGAAAAAGCTCCTCAGGTCACTCTAATCTCCTTACCTTATGCCTGCCTCAGTTCCTTACCTCTTAGTGTGCAAATCATTGCTTGAAGTCTCTGAGCTAAACAATTAGAAGAGTGGTATTTTGACTGCCATTACTGAGTAGATTCCTATTTCTATCCAGCTAACTTGAAAATGTGTTTCATATTGGAACCAGGAGAAAAAGTGTGTGGAGATCAATGCAAATCTATCACCACAAGGAGACAAATAAGGCAGAGCACATGTACTGCTGACTGGGGGTCAATAACATTGCCTTTGCATAAGGAGAACAATATGTCCACAAGACAGCAGGGAAAATGAAAATATTAATAATTTCATGAGAGTCATATGTCACATAGGTTGTGTCGATGCTACATGAATATGAAGGATACACCTAGCTAACTACCCCATAAATCTAGAAACTTGATGATCAAGTTTGACTTTCTAAATAGATACCATCCAAATTTTCTTTTTACTGCAACTGCTTTTGAACTTTGACAACGCTGCAGGTGTTTCTCATACTTACAAAGACAAGGGAATTGAAAAGTGGTGACTTCCCTGTGCAAATAAGTAGTCATTTATGGATAAAGATACTGAGTGACTATAATGTTTTCTCCCAGAACCAGGATTATAGGTTTCAAGTGTTGCTAGATGCTGTTATCAGAAATATCAGAACGATAGTTTGGGAATAAATCTATTCCTTGGAGACCCAAAATCAGGACAGGAGGTTCTAATAGATGTTGCAAAGGGATCCTAGGACAAAGATTACTAATACAGCCTTAAGGCTGTCGCATGCTAAGTTTTCTCTGCCTAAAACAATTCTCACCCCTCCAGCCTGTAATTTAACTCTACCATAACCTTTTGAATCCAACTCAATTTCTTTATCTAACTAAATCAGACTTCCTTGTTGTATTACCCAGAGTACCCAGTTCTCAGTAGACTTACTAAAATTAGAATTTTTATTTATCTGGGTCTTTTTAAAATCTCTACCATCTCCATCATACTTAAAGATACTTGGGGGAGGGACCATGTCTCTTTCACTCACCTTTATACCCCAAGCATTTAACAGTGCTTGGCACACAAGAGCCCCTACGTAAGTTTTTTTTTTAATAAAATGAGTAAAAGAATGAATGACAATATGATAAGCACACATGAATAGACCTAGAAAGAGAGTATGTTTAACTGTGAGCTATATCAGGCTGTCTGAAGATACTTAAGTGGTAACTATTAACTAAGGGTGAATTTCTGCCCAAGCAGCAACCATCTAAAAACTGTACATTATGTAATGATCAAATCTTGCTGGATAGCAGTCATTCCACTTTGTGGTGATGACCTTAGATTTAACAGATACTTTACCAGCAAATAGACTGGTATATGTGGTACTAAACAATCATTTTTTTAAAACCTTTGTTCCAAAATAAAATCAGGTACATAATTTATAGTGCCTAATACTTATCTCCTTGACTTGGATAGGAGATGTTAAATTTTGCTGTATGTTATATATAGAGAATGAGGCCACAGCTCATATTCTTAGGACCATATAAAATATACATATGTTTATATACGTACATTTCTATATACATTTGCATGTTAAATTACATACATATTTACACACATATAAAATACATTAATATATTTTACTTTCTTGTTAATAGCTACATATATACAAACACATGACTATCATCATTGGCCACTAAGAAATTATTCAGATTTTTAAGTTCTCATAGAAATGCACAAAATTAAGTAAAATAAAATATTTTTAAAAATCCGACCTTGGTGACATTTTCTTATTTTGTTTTACCCCTTATGCCGCTTTTTGCATTTGAAACCAGTACATTTAATTTAGCTCCCACCAAAGCTCAGCTTTAAGCCTAGCTTAATGCCTAACATTCAGTAGATTCTCAATAAATGATATTTCCTCTCCTCATTGTCAAATTGTTTCATCTAGGGAGTGATGCTTGCCAGTTTTCATGTGAACCAGAGTAGCACTGGGTAGATGGAAGAGAAAACTGAGGTGAACTTTTGTTGTCTATCCTTCTATACAAATTTAAAATTCTATGGTACATGTGTTTTCAAAATTAGTCCAAAATAGGACATTTTACAGCCTTAATATTTCAACTCTCTGTGACCCCTGCATAATACACGCTCTTGCCAATTCTCCATTATGCTGCATAGGTTTTCAAGGGCTAATCTCATGTGCCAAGAACACCCTTCTCTCTTTCAGGCTAAGTGTGATTCTGCACCAAAGACACTCCAGCCACAATCACAAAGACATGCAAGCTAATGCCAGTGTCAGAGCGGCTTTTGTACATGCCCTTGGAGATCTATTACAGAGCATCAGTGTGTTAACCAGTGCACTTATTATCTACTTTAAGGTGAGAATGTTTGAGTTTACTCATTGTCATAGTAAGTTTATAGATTAGGTAGTACAGAAGCTGACCTGTCAATATTAACTTAAATGAGGGTGGACAGCCTATTTGCCCATACCAACTGCTTTGCAGGGTTTACACAAGCAAACAAATGTTCAAAGCCTGAAACCTTAGACTTTCCAAATTCCTAAGTGCTCTGTCTTCAACTGTAGGGCTATCAGTCTTTCTGGAAAGTAGTTCCTTTTGTCATGGAGTTAAGGTAAACACCATGGATACCTTAGGTTTCTTGGGTTGTATGCAACAGAAAAGATGCCTAGCTTACTTAAGCAAAAATATATTTATTGGCTGAAATTTACTAGATGTACTCTTGGACAGAAATCAAGGTAGAAATAAGGGCAACATTGGGTATCTTAGTTTTAGAAACTTATCCACATTCTGTCCCAGGCACCAATGCAGAAATGAATGTGATTCAACCAATTTTTTTTCCCCATTTCTTGTCATTCTGCTGGAGAGTCATACTTCTGGGAAAGAGTCCAACAGCCTAAGTTTGGGTCTTTTACCTGCTGCTTGGCTGGGGAGGGAGAGCACCTGATTGACTGCCCCACCAATAGCACCCACAATGGGGGAAAGACAATTCTCCTCTCAAAATCAGGGTGTTAATAAGAAGTTGGATGGATCCTAGATGAACCTCTGACCCTAAACAAACATTTACTACAGATCTGTTAGACCAAGAACTAACAGAAGTGGGGTGGGGTATAGGTGGGGGGTAATGGAGAAGAGCATTTAGCTCTCATTTGCACCTTGATCATCCAGTTAGCGGGGATTCCTTATCATTTTTACTAAAAAATGAAAACACATATATAAAAATTACAAAGACATATCTGAATTCAATTGAACAAGTATTCATTGAAAGCTTTAAGTTTAAGGCAAAATTGTTCAAACTTGTACTGGTTAGTGAAGTTTGAGAGTTTCTCAGAGGTAATGAGGCATGGACTCTTCTGTGGAACAGAACTTCATCAAGGGCAGAAGACAAGGTACCCCAGCCTGAGGCTAAGGGCTCTGGTGGTGAGACAGTGCAAGAATGAGGCCTCAGCTCATACTCTTAGGACTTAATCAAAGATGGCTGCCTCGAATATGTGTCATCCTGAAGAGGGAAAGAAAGAAACTAACCCCAGTCTGCCAAGAGCAAGCTCCAGCTGGACCTTGGTCATATGCAACCTCTGGGCAGGTGATACCCTTTCTTCTCATCATGAGGAAGGCTGAAAAGCCATCTAATATTGTATAAACTTGTGCATATTTTTATCACATACTCTGTGCTTCTATTAATTTGAGAAAAGTCAAATCAGGCCTTTGGAAAGAACACTCAAGGATATTTTCCCCTGTACATAGTTCGAAGCTTAAAAGAAGGATTGAGTCTTCAGGAAGTCTTGGCTCTGAGTTGGATGTAAAGTGTCAGGGAGGTGAAAGGGTGACAGTGTGAAAAAGAAGCAGGGACATTTACTTATTTTATTAGACTTTTTGCATGGAGGGCCCGAATTCAGATAACTGAAGTCCCTTTATTTTCTAGCCAGACTATAAAATGGCTGACCCAATCTGCACATTTGTCTTTTCCATCCTGGTTCTGGCCAGCACCATCACTATCTTAAAGGACTTTTCCATCTTACTCATGGAAGGTAGGAGTGATTTTATTATTATTTCCAGGATCAATGTTTTCTCTTCCCTATAATCACAGAAGGGAATGGCATCAAGACATGTTCACCGTTAATTTGCATTCTAAGGAAAATACAGATTTGTAAGGAATTTTTGTGAAAACAAATATTATGATTTTTATTCGTATGGGAACAAATAAAAAAAAACTGGCTTCTCTTTTCCTCCAGCAACTATTAAATAATAATATGACACAGTATAAAAACAATATGTACAAATACTAAGGATAGATATTGAGGGAGATATTGCAAAAACATAAATTCCTCCCTAAATATATGGAAAATACCTAAGAAAAATTAAATGATCTCTCTCTCAGGCAGCATTATAACTCCTATGAAGGGCTTGCCTAAAACCCTTGTTAGACCAGGCCAGCCCTGCTCCAACTTCAGTGCATCAGAATCACTTGGGCTCTACTGGGGCTACCCCCATATTCCTGAACCAGTCAGTCTGGAGTGAGGCCCAAGAATTTGAATTTCTAACAAGATGCTGATGCTGCTGGTTCAGGGACCATACTTTGAGAACAACTGGAATAGTCTTTTCATAGCACTTAAAGGGTTACTACATGAGGGCACTGAGAGTGGCACCTAGAAAATTCAATCAGAACTAGAGGGTTGCATCACATCAAGCATTCAGATGATCAAAACTATCCAGACCTTGGCTTGACCTTTTCTTTTTTGTCTAGCACATTTTGACATAAGGCCAACACAGTCTCAGAGCGCAGGTGCCTTGACAAAAGCCCACACTTCCTTAGCATTCACTGCTGAGTACACGTTTAAGGGTTTTGTCCTGTTGGACACTATAACTGTTAGAGTACTTGTACTTAATGAAGTTTTTTAAAAATATGGAAAGGTATAAAGTTATAAAAAGTCTCCCCACTTTTCCACCTTTGAAATCTCAATCCCATTCTTTAAGGGTAACACCTACTAATAAGTTGAAATATATCTGTCCAAAAATATCCATGCATTTACACATATATGTACCTGAAATATATATGTATCTATAGAGTATATATATCTTTTTTTTATACAAACAGAATTATGCATTGATACATATTTTGTTCTGCACTTTATTTTCTTCACTTGGAGGTCTTTCCATATTAGCACATACAGAGATACACCCTATTCCTTTCCATGGTACAAAGTATTCCACTGTATGCATGTACTTGCTTATTGATGGATATTAGAAATAACAGTGTAATTACCATTCTGTACATATATATTTTTAGTGCTTATATATCTGTAGCATAACTCCTAGAAGTGGTATTGCTGTTTCAAAAGTTATATGCATTTTAAAATTTGATAGATATTACCATTTCTACCAAAGATACCATATCAATTTCTTTCCCACCAACAGCATGTGAGAATGCCCATTTCCTCACATCCTCACCATCATTGAGTATTATCAAGATGTTGATGCTTTTCTAATCTGATAGGTGAAATATTATAGGTCTTTGATTCCATATGCAATTCCTTCATTATGAGAGATATTGAGTGATTTTTCATATATTTATTAACCTGGGTAATTATTTTTTAAACACTAATTTGGGTATTTTCCTGGATGCTTTGATATGTCTGCAGGCTCTCAGGAAAAAAATTTTCTAGTATATGATGGAGCACTGAAGGCCACTGGGAACATATCCTCTTGCTTGTCAACATTATTCTATAGAGTAAAATAAGTAACAGTGGATTTGTGTTCTCCATAAAAATAAAGAGATAAGTGAGGCAAGAGGGAAGGGGGTAGTGGGCTTGTGATTTCATCTCGAGGGTCCTAGATGAGGACACTAGGTCTTCAGAGGGTTACATGAAACTCCTCAGAGATGACACATTAGGCATAATAGTCAATTTTGGGTTCCAAGACTTGGTATAACATTTCACACTCAGAGCATGGACTTGAGAATCTGATGTCCCCCTTCTTTATTTGGCCTTAGCAATGGTTCTTAACCTCTCCTGGCTCCCAATTTCCTCTTTCCCAGTTAAATAGGAATTGTGACATTGATAATTAGCTCTTAAAGTTCTTATAACTATTAAGTAAGCTAATCACTATGAATACAGTACTTAGCATAAACCCTGACATATGGTAGTTTCTCAGTAAAGGTGTGTTATTATCATTACAATGTAACAATGTCGACCATGACATTCTATGGCTAATCTAAGAACTCTTTTGTTTCTAGTGCCCTGAGCCCTGTGCAGCTCACAGAGTAAAAGAACATGCTTTTGTTACCTCCATGAAACAATATGAACCAGCTCCTTGTTACCTCCATGAAACAATATGAAGTGGGATTAAACTAAACTAAAACTGTAGAGAATTTTAATATTAGCCCCAAGAAGGAAATCCCCATGAGCAAAGTTCTTAAATCCTGGAAAAGGAGGGTTAAGGATTCCCTATTCCTCTAAGTAAGTTGTTCTTGACTAGCTGCTCATTACAATCCTTTGGGAAGCTTTTTGAAATACTTATGCCCAGGCCCCATACCCAGAGATTCTGATTTAATTGACTTAGGTGGGGGCTGGCTTTGATGTTTTTTTAACATGCAGCCAAGCTTGAGAACTAGAGCTGCCCAGTGGTTTGTAAATGTTAATGCAATGGTTCTCAAACCTGGCTGTGTGTTAGTCACCAAATGAGCTATAAAAATAGTGATGCTTCATCTTATCCCCAGAGGATCTGATTTAATTGGTCTTGGATGTAACCTGGCAATCAGGATTCCTAAAATCTCCTCTGATGATATTAACGTGCATTCAAGGTGGAGAGCCACTTTGAAAGCATGTCGATTTCAGAGCCTCATCCATAGAAATTTTCTCCGGGAGGACGGGAATGGAGCTAAGGCATATTTATTTTTAACAAACACAGCAGGTGTTCATGTTGTGTATATATGATTGAAGTAGAAGTTAAAATGTGGTCATCCTTAGAAATCTCTTCTACAGCATACTCTTTGGGTCATCGTTAGTTGGCAGGGATTTACTTATTGCATCAAGTGGCTTTATCAGTGTTATGCTGGTTGAGTTGATAAAAAAAAAACTGGTATTAAATTGATGTGTTTTATAATTCTAACCCACCATTGGCTTGCCTTCTCTCTAGCCAAAGCAAGGACCCTTACACTTTCATATTCTCTCATCTTCCAAATGACAATCTTTGCAATGTTTGAGAAAAGTGATCCTTCTAACCTGAGCTATCACTTCTTCAGGCTAGAGAAACCCCAGTTCCTTCAGCCCAAAAGAACTGTTGATTGGCTGACAGGGTCCATACCTTCTTCTGTGCCCCTACACCATTCCTTTAGAAGCAAGGATGATGTCAAACTCTGACATTATATGACCTGGACCAATAAACCCTGGCTAATGCACCTAAATCAATAAAAATTCTATAAACCGAGTAATAAGATGGCATTCTAATGTTAGTAGCAACTATTAACACAGTTCAGTAAGTGACCTGTTGGATAACCACTATTTACATAGCATTTCAAGTGTATAAAGAGCAGATATTTTCCCATTTGCTCCTCAAAGAACTTAGTATACCTATTGCTCTTCCTGTCCCTATTTTAACCACAGATGTGCTGAGGATCAGAGAAGTTCCAAGATTTGGGTAAATTCATGGTAGTTGTGGTCAGAGTGCTAACCCAGAATTACTTGATACCAAGTCCCATGTTTCTTCATTTTGCTTTCTAGAGTGTATGCAAAGATCATTAGAAAAAGCTCAATTGGTTTAATAACACACACCGAAAATAGAGAATGATTACTATTGTTGGTTATTGCATAACATCTGCAAACAGTCTTTGATGTTAAACCCTTTGAAAGAGTCAGGTGAATCTGAATTGTAAACATCTGAAGTCAGAAACCAGAAAGGGGGAGGGTACATTGATATTCTGGAGCAGATTTTGTGGCCCCTTTTAGCCATGTGGATGAGCTGTATTTAGTTAAATAAAAACGGCCTCCCTCCCTTTCCTCTTGTCAGGTGTGCCAAAGAACCTGAATTACAATGATGTGAAAGAGCGCATCTTGGCGGTGGATGGAGTGGTGTCTGTGCACAGCTTGCACATCTGGTCTCTAGCAATGAACCAAGTGATTCTCTCGGCTCATGTTGCTGCAGGTCAGTGCGTTCTGAAAACACTCTGCCAAAATTCAGTCCTTGTCCTGTAAACTCAATAATTTCTCTCCTTTTTGTAGAGCTGCCTATAGTGTCCATTGCCTATCAAAACAACTGTGGAGTGTTTCCTTTTACCAAAGGCCTTTGAAAGCACCTCTTGTCAATGTTATCGTAGCAACAATGATACTGAAGGCACCCTTTGAGGCAGACTGCAGAAGGTATCGGGTAGACTAGATGGTTTATATGCAACCCAGACTTCAAGGTCTGAAAATCAGACCTCACCCGTTTGAGTTGGTACCCAATCAATTAAATAATGGGATGAATTCAACAATAAATCTTTGTTGAATATTTCCTGTGTCTAATATGCTCTGTGTATCACTGAAGATAAAAAGATGAAGGAGACATAGGTCCCATCTTTAAGGTTCTAACAAGCTAAAAGACGTGCTAGCAGGGTTTAATGGTGGTTCCCTCACTGGATGGTTAGAAATTCTGTAATCATGTGCGATAATTCTTAGGATGTTGGGTTTATTCTAAAAACTACTTTCTCAAGTAGAAGGTGATTTGTCCATTATGTGTGCTTGGGGTGGGGAAATGGGCAGTGGAGAAGGGAAGGGGAGAGGATCCCTCACCACCTCAGGAAGACAGCTCAGGAGAAATGATATGTCAGGCAGCTAAAAAATAACTCAAGAAGTCACGGAGAGGCAGGCTACAGCAACAACGGTGACAGGCATTTGAGGACTATGCTTTCTTTGACATCCTCATCTTTGCTGAGAGGCTTAGATCTGGCTAAAGGTAATTTATAGCATCTGCTACACCAATATTTCACTGCAGATGAAAGAATCTAGTAAGCAATCAGGTTACTATGGAGGGAAACTTACAGTCTCCTGATGCCTTTTGGGACAAGAGAAAAGATGGCGGGGAGATTGCTGTTCTAAGAACAGTCTGTGGGGAGCTCTAAATACTTCCCTGTTCCTATCACTAGCCTTGATATAAATGCTCATGAGATACAAGGGCTGCAAACCAGAGATCTCTGGGGACTGGTGGAAAGGGCCATATAAGAAATAAATAGCTGTGTCTTAGCTTTCTTCAGGCCTTATCTCCCCTTCCATGCTCAGCTTCTAACTGTGCCAGACCCCAGAGAGAACTGTGGGCAGGAAGAGTTCCCATAGTGAGAGGTACTTTGCCACACTCGAAATTCCCCGCCTTGTCCGTGCGAACGGAGCTGACTGTCAGAGCCAACATGGCTTCTTCTGAGTGTCCCGCCTACGCCCCTCCCATCAGGTCAAAGACAAAGTACTTGAAGCCGGAAATGTAGCAGTCGCCCACGTGTGTGCAATCAGTGCCAATCTTACCGTGGTTCTTTCTCAACAGGAGCCAGCCGTGACAGCCAGGTTGTTCGGAGAGAGATTGTTAAAGTCCTCAGCAGTAGCTTTACTCTGCACTCACTCACCATTCAGATGGAATCTCCAGCTGACCAGGACCCCGACTGCTTTTTCTGTGAAGACCCCCGGGACTAGTTCAGTCACAACATCGACTTCTCGCATTTGATGGGCCACTATATGCTGCTCTGCTATTTCCAGCACACAAGAAATAAAGAACCAAAGGATGAAGTTTGAGAAATTCGTGATACTGTACAATGCACATTTTATCCTTCTTTATTTAGCTCCATCTGCCAAAGATGAAAATCCGTTTAGATTCATCAGCCAATTGGGTTATCAACTCATGAGTAGCTGTGTTCAATTACAGGAATGTGTGTATAGACTGTTCCTGACTGGGGCTGAAGTAACAGCTGTTTGTAACCAGAGGCAATAAAAAGTTCATCTCCCTTCAATAAGGTATCCTAAGGATGAGTGGGTAAAATTGAACTCGGGAAAGTCTTATTGGAGTCGGTGCCTAGGAATTCTCCCAAAATATGAGAAGCAAAAGAAGAAGAGCCAAGCCAGGTTAAAAGAGATTCTGGAGACCTATCACGCCACTATAACTTGACTCTCTCACCATGTTATAATATGATTTTGAGCACTATCTTTTTGCTCCCTATCCACATCACTATCCACCAAATGGGGTACAAATATCCTCTTTCTCTCTTGCTTACAAATTATGTTTTAATATGCCGAAACTATTGAATGATATTTTACTTGTCTGTATAAAAGCTCTAGACAAATGAAAAATTATGAAATTGCTGCTTTTTGAGTGTTTTCATGTAGTGTGACCTAATAATAAAATAAGGAGGCACAGAGCATCAGGGTTCTTGTCCCAGGTCACATGGAAAATAATTAAGTCAAAGAATTAAGAAGTCCCAGGTCTTGAATAATACTGATGGAGTCCCAACTATTGTCCAGGTATTGTACCAGGCTATTTAGATGTGTCATTCTATTTGAATGTCAACATTGGAAAGTTGGAATTAATACCATCATTGTATAGATAAGGACATAGGCTCACAGAGGTTTAGTAAGTTACCCAATGTCATTTATTTATTCATTCAAAAATAATTTGTCAATGCAGGCTATGAACTAAGCATTGGTGAATTATGTCAATATGGTCTTTATGTTCAGGGAGCTCCTTCCCTTTTGTTGGGGAGACAGGCATTCCACCAATAAACACCAGGAATGTACTATAAATAGTGGCAAGTGATGAAAGAAGAGAGCCTGGTTTAGATTGGGGGAAGTCAGTGGAGATCCTCTCTGAAGAAACAGCATCCAAGTTGAGACCTGAACAGATAAGTAGGTGAAAGCCAAATGAATTATAGGAGGAAGTACATTCTAGAAGAACCAAGAGCATGGGTGGGCACCAAGAAGAAAGAATTTGGTGCATGGGAGGAAATGAGGAAGGCCCTTGTGGCTGGAGGGTACTAAGTGAGGGGTGAGTTAAAAAACATGGAGGACATCAGGGAGGAGAGATGAGCAAGTGCAGTTGGCAAGGCAAGATTCTCTCATTCAGAGTCACTGATTGTATAATTCCATGCTTCTAGCACTGATTGTAGCTTAAAGTAAAATAAAGATGTACAGGCCTACATCCTGGAAATCTTGAGTTAATGGGTCTGGTTTGGAATCTAAACGTCCGTATTTTTTTTTTAAACATACCCAGAGATATACTAAAGAATAGCTGGAGTCTAAAAGAACTTCAACCAGGGGCGCCTGGGTGGCTCAGTTGTTAAGTGTCTGCCTTTGGCTCAGGTCATGATCCCAGGGTTCTAGGCTCGAGCCCCCCATTGGACTCTCTGCTCAGCGGGAAGCCCGCTTCTCCCTCTCCCACCACCCCCTGCTTGTGTTCCCTCTCTTGCTCTCTCTCTCTGTCAAATAAATAAATAAAATCTTTTAAAAAAATGAAAAAAATAAAAGAGCTTCAACCAAAGGAGGTCACTGAGTGGGGGATTCACATACCCAGATACCTACAGTAATATCTTGAATTGCAAACATGCAGATGGGGTATAAAGGGGCATTGCTGTGTGGGCATGGCCACTGAGGCTTCATGTCATTGAAGTGACAGTCATGTTGGACTCTGATTTGTATCTGGAATTTCCCTAGACAGATCAAGAAAAGGGCATTCTAGACAAAGAGAAGAGTATATGGAAGGTATACTCATGTTTACCTGTTAAGATTAATATTTTAAGATTTCTTTATTTGAGAGAGAGCACGAGTGGGAGGGGCAGAGAGAGAGGGAGAGAGAAACTCAAGTAGACTCCACACTGAGTGTGAAGCCTGACTCGGGGCTCAATCTCATGGTCCTGAGATCATGACTTGAGGGGAAACCAAGAGTCGGACGCTTAACCAACTATACCACCCAGGTACCCCTACCTGTTAATTTTTATTTATATGTGGCAAAGGAAACTTTCAACTCTGATTTTTAAAACTATATAATTTTTACTACTTTAGCATTGTAGAGAACAAAAGTTGTCTTTGATGATTTTTATGTCATTGTCAGCATCTAGCAGCGTGTTGGAAACCTAGCAGGCATTAAATAATTATTGGGGCAATGACTCTGGGGCTATGTGTGGGCCTTGCCATTATTTTTCATTTACATTTGTATTTTTCTGAAATTCTGAGGGCCAAGAAAACATTGACTTTGACTTGGGCGGTCACATCTGTGCCATCTCTGTGAATCAATCGGCACTGCTGAAATAGCTACTTAGCATTCTGCTGACGATTCACCCTGCTCAGTAGAGACAAATAGACTTGTCCCCCACCTCGGTAAGCACGTTTAGGCAACCAGAATTACAGCCACTCGGGTTTCTAATGTGCCATGCCTCAGCTGGCTCTCAAGATGGAAGGGATAGTTCACGCCAAATCATTTCTCCTGTCTCAGACGCCATTGAATGGTTTTGCTTTTCCATATTTTGTATAGGACAGAGCCCTTAAGACCTGGCAAACACAAAAGTTCTTGTGTAATTTCTCTGCTTTCTTTTCAAAATCATATTTATCTTTTATTTTATGTCAGGAATACACTGAATGTCAGGTAATCGTAAGGTAGGGGGATTTGTATATCAACCAATGAATTGCCCCATGGCCCTTAGCCATTTCTGCTATTTCCCTGAAATTTGACCTCTTTTGTCAGCTAGATTGAAAACTCTGGATGGTAGATGTTTTGGGGTAAAGTGCAAGACAATCTGCAATGGGGATTTTAAGGATTTGAAGATGAAAGAACAGATGACACCAAGAGACTTTAGGTACCATGTATCAATTTTGAAAGTCAGCTTCTCTTTTTGCCTCTTCCCTGGAGTCCAGGATTGTGAACTCCAGGCCACTGACATTCCTGGAATAGCATAGTAGAATTCTTCACTTTGTGGCATCGTATTCTCTCTGGCTATCAACACATCTTTCACGTCATTCAAAGAAACACACTTTATTCTTCAGAGTACTGAAATCAGGCCAACTTCATTGCCACCCTCCATCCTTAATATGCTTCTTTGTCATCCAGCACCCAGTCAAGATTTATCTAGGACTCTATGGTGATGTTAGGGCCCATAAAAGAAATTGATGCATTCCATGTGTTTGGTTACAGATGGGAAACGGGAATGTTGAAGGACATGAAGGAGAGAATGTTTGCACTTTGAACATCACGTTTGTAGTTAGATTGCCTGAGTTTGAATCTTAGCTCTTGCCTTTATTAGCTCTGTGACCTCGAGCAGGTTACTTAAATGTTCTGTCCCTCTGTTTCCTGATCAGTAAAAGCTCCCTATTCAGATATGTGAGAATTTAATACATTAGGACACTTAAAGATGTCAGACTTGTGCATAGCATGTGGTTAGTTAGCACTCAGTAAATCTTAACTTTCATTGATTATTATATATGAAGTAAGTGCGTATGTATGTATGCACCAACACAGATATTTATATCATCCCCACTTTTAAAAGGTTTTGAGTCTTCAACACAACTCCTGCAACAGAGTGGCAGAATTATTGGAGAGCATTGAACAGCTCTTTCTCTCATGGAGCAATTGAGGCTTGCTGAGATAAAGATGTCTACTGAGAACATTGCCTAGTGTGTGAGGCATGGACTCATTAAAATAGTTAAGTCCCATTCTGACGCATTCTGAACACTCCTACTTTTATCTTTAAAGGCTGAGTTAGTCACTTCAAGTACACTTAATAACAAAGTACAGCTGTCCAGTTCAAGAAAGCAGAGTCACTGATCTCCCAACCCTTTCCCCCTGCTCCTGTGAAGGATCCCTTCCTTGGTTTCTCTCTCCTAGCCACAGTTTGTTCTAACCAGGTGCATTTCCTCCTTCTGGTTTCTAAGTTGTCATTGGCATGGAGGCACCATTTCCTTATCTGTTAAATTTTGCAGAGCCATCAAAGGCCTTTAGCACTCAGGTGTCCAAAAAAACACCTGGCAAATACATTTTATAGATTCTTGGAGAATGTGGCTCTCCAGCTCCAGCTCTACCACTGAAGTATGGGCCAGAGACTCCTTCAGAGACAAGCCTCATTTTCCTCAATTAGTTTAAAGTACCTTTAGGAAATGATTTTCTCAGCTCGTCTCCCTGCATTCCCTGCATTGGATCACAGGGCAATCTGTTTAAATGACTAATTACAGAAATCATTAAAGGCACCAAGCAAATGTCTTTGAATACCCACATCCCAAGTTTTACAAGTCCTGCTTGATGTGACAATGACGAAACCACTTAATGGTCCAGCGCAGGCGGATATTTAAAAAAAAAAAAAAAAGTGACCATATGTGGCTCAGTTTCCTAACTTTCAGATTTCACACTTAACATTTGTCATTCTGTTACTGGACACCTGTTTAAATTCTATTTTAAAATGTTAATGTATGTTGTTTAGAACAAAATCAGGAAAAAGAGAGAGTTTGGGTTAAGTCATCATCGTTTTATCACTAAAATCATGGCGGAAATATTTCTCATGACACCAATCAGGACTGTAATGAGAATATACTTTTCCACTCTCAAACTTTTATTGGAGGAAAGAACCCATTGAGGGAGCAGATTGGGCTAAAGGAGATGGAAGATGATCTGAGAATCAGGGGCACTTCTGAAATCATCTTGGTCATCCGTATGAAACCCCAGTGAGGAAAAGGATGGGGGTCAGAGTCAGTGGGAGCCCTTGACAGTTGCAAAAAACAAACACACTGTGCTTTGTCACCCATGAAGGCCAGGAAGTGGAGATGTCAAGCTGAATTGCACCCTTTTCAGGTGTGTCAATCAAGCCCTAGGAGACAATGTTTCAGCATAATTGCCCTATATTTCCTTCCTTCAAAGGGATACCCATTTGCTAAAAACATAATTATCCTATTTGAAGCTATTGAAGCCATGTGGTTGTTGTACACAGTCCAATGGTCCCTTCAAGTGTTATTTCCCTAGATTGTAGAATTTAGGAGGTTTTGGGGGTATTACGGAAGAAGAAAAGGCACCGGTTGTACTGAAGATATTATAAACCACGGTGAGTTAACCTGTACAAAAGAAACAGGATCAGATGTGACTTTGGGTTCTTGTTTGAAGTTGAGCTGCATTCTTCACATGAGACTGTAGGCACTTAATAAGCTAATACCCTGTTTCTTTTCCATCCCCTCTCTTATTTTTTTCAGAGATGAAGAATGGATTTTATCTGGCATATACATGCAAATGATGAGCAAGAATTTCTGTTACTGTCCCATTCTCCACTCCATATTTGTCTTTGATGTGGGAGAGGTCTATAGT